TGTTGCAGTACATGAAGCTAGAATAGAGCTAACCACATACATTTTGTGGTGGCTCTGGAAATCGAGGAATTTGTGGGTGTTTGAATGGGTTTGGAGACCATAGGGGTGTATAATCTCTAGAGCTTGGGCAGATTGGCAAGAATCAATTGGCTTTGGCACTAAGAGAGTTCATCAGAGGCAAGGTGCTTAGCTAGGTCTGCTTAGGCAGTTCAGTGGCTAGGTAGTTTTGCTTTCTTTTCTCTTGGTGTCTGATTTGTATTTGTTCTGACATTTGATCATCTATATTGTTTATTCTCCTACACTGGAGGGCTCAGATTATATTCTGCCTTTGGTGTAGTTAGTTTTATTGTTGCATTTAGCCTACTTGTATTAGTAGTGCTCTCTGGCTTAGCCTCCGGCATTAGGGTGTTACCCTGTCTGTACTTGTACATTTTATCGGCTCTAATGGAGTTCTTCTATCGTTTGGGAAAAAAAAAAAATAATTTTAAATAGTAAGTTGCAGTTAACAAAAAATGGAATAATTAATTACCTACAACTGCATGTCTTATTGGCAAATATCTCGGTGAACATGCAAATCTTTTCTATAATCTCCACCAAAAGTTTTCTCAAATTTCATCCGAAAAAAGTGCAAACCCTCTCCCAAATCTCAATCTCACATTATCTCTCCAAGAATATATTCAAATTTGCATCTAATGCAAATCCATTTCACACCACCTTCATCCGTTGCAATTCATCTCTTGTAGAAGTATCTTGACGATATCGCATAAACACTAGATTTTCAAAGCACGAAGCTCATCAATGGCAAAGAAAAGGCCACATCCTGTTAATCCGAATGATGGTGATGGTGATGTGAAGTTAATTCCTTCAAGAACTCGGAAGACAACCTCTAATCAAGTGGTGAAACCGAGAATTGTACAAAAGATGTTGCAATCCCTAACATTTTCTGCAACTGAAGGTTTAAAAAAGCAACAATCGAGGGGGATGATGATTTTGTATCGGAACCCAACAATGGAGAACATAATCCTACTCGGGTGATGTTAGTGTGTATACTGAAAGCTTGACTTTTTGTTAACACTATTCACATTTGAATGAGAAACATGTTTAATTAAACAATTCTTTGTTCTAGTGTTTTACATTTGATAGTTATGGTTCATCACGGATGGGCAGAAGATCATACTATCGGTTACTTGTAAAACATGAAGTTTGGTTCACAACTCGGATGAAAATGAACAAACCATAGCGAACGGTTGTAGTGTAATTTGGACGGCTAGTCTTGACTGATGAATTGCACTAATACAATGTGAGTGTATTGAACAGATTTTGGAGAGGATAAGCTTTTTTTT